GCTATTAGTGGTAGCAGGCGGTCCCGTAAATAACCAGGTCCTAAGCCATGGAGCGCTCTAAAGGTGATAACCAAAACCTTGAAGCGCACTCAGAAGACCACTGGGAGCCAGTGCAGCTCGCGCAGGAGAGATGTTACATGGGAGCGCCATGTCGCTCCCTTCACCACCCGCGCGGCTGCACTCTACGCCAGTTGGAGCCTCCGAGTGCTCATCAAGGGGAGCCCCATGTAGAGAGCGTTACAATAGTCCAGACGGGAGGTGACGAGGGCATGAGTGACCATGCGTAAGGAGTCCCAATCTAGAAAGGGACGCAACTGCCGAATCAGGCGAACCTGATGAAAAATCCTCGGCCGTCACGGTCACGGCCGTCAAGTGCTCTTCTAAAGACAGCTGTGAGTCCAGGAGGACACCCAAGTTGCGAGCCCTTTCCGTGGGGGCCAATGATTCATCCCCAATAATCAGCGATGGCACCAGCTGACTATATCGGGACGTCAGAAACCACAGCCACTCAGTCTTGGATGGGTTGAGCCTGAGCCTGTTTCTCCCCATCCAGATCCATATGGCCTCCAGGCACCGGGACATTACTTCAAGGGCATCGTTGGGGCGGTCTGGGGTGGAGATGTACAGCTGGGTGTCGTCAGCGTACTGATGGTACTCCACCCCAAAACCACGGATGATCTCGCCCAGTGGCTTTACATAAATGTTGAACAAAAGGGGCGAGAGGACCGATCCTTGTGGCACCCCATTTCTCATTTATTGTTATCTCTCCCCAGAGATCCTCTAGGTATGACAGCAGAGATGAATAAGCAGTCATAATCGTGAAGTATTAGTAACAGCTTTACAGGAAGACCACACGTGGAAAACTGCATTCGGTTTTGGTCACCACAATATAAAAAAAAGATGTTGAGTCACTGAAAAGAGTATGGAGAAGAGCAACAAGGATGATTATGGGGCTGGTGGCTAAAACATGTGAAGAACAGTTGCTGGAATTGGGCATGGCTAGTCTAGAGAAAAGATAGACTAAGGGTGACATGATAGCAATGTTCCGATACCTCAGGGACAGTGGTGGGTTCTCCCAGTTTGGCCTGGTTTGGCCGAGCCCCCACCCCCCCATGTTATTCTTACCTTTTATTTGGCCCCGCCCCCAATCTATTGCTGCCTCCCAAGTCCCAGCTGATCGGCTAGAAGGAAAAAAACTGTTTAAACTTTTGCCGCGGGGCTTCAAAGGGCCGCCCTACAGCTGATCAGTGTTAAAAGGCAGTGTGGTGGTAGACCGGTGCCTCCAAAAACAAATGAGTAGACCAGTGCCTCCAAAAACAAATGAGTAGACAGGTGCCTCCAAAAACAAATGAGTAGACCGGTACACCTCTGCAAGCAGTTAAAAGCCTGGTAGACCAGTACCTCTGCTAAATCCTAAAGAACTATCACATGACCATCAAGCCACGCCCACAAAATAAACCACACCCACAGAACCGGTAGTAAAAAATTTTAGAACCCACCCCTGCTCAGAAACTGCCACAAAGAAGAGGGAGTCAAGCGATTCTCCAAAGCACCTGAGGGCAGGACAAGAAGCGATGGGTGAAAACTAATCAAGGAGAGAAGCAACCTAGAACTGAGGAGAAATTTCCTGACAGTGAGAACAATTCATCTGTAGAATGGCTTGCTTTCAGAAGTCGTGGATGCACAATCATTGAGGCTTTTAAGGAGTGACTGGAGAGCCACTTTTCTGAAATGGTATAGAGCAGTGATGGCTAACCATTTCCGGACTGAATGCCCAAAGCACGTGCATGTGCGCCTGAACCCCCAAAATGCAATGCATGCACGGCCCCTGTGCATGAGCCTTGCCCCTGTGCAGGCAGGTGTGGCCCCCTCCACATGCATCCTTCCCCAGCTGTAGGGCGGCCCTTTGAAGCCCCACGGCAAGAGTTTAAACAGTTTTTTCCCCTCTAGCCGATCATTTGGGACTCAGGAGGCAGCAATAGATTGGGGGTGGGGCCAAATAAAAGGTAAGAATAATGCAGGGGGGCAGGGGGCAGGGGGGCAGAACCAGTTTGGTGATGTCATATCGTCACCGCTACCGGCTCGGCGGAACCAGGTGGAACCGGGAGGAACCCACCACTGGTATAGTCTCCTGCTTGAGCAGGGGGTTAGACTAGAATACCTCCAAGGTTTCTCCCTACTCTGTTATTCTATGTTCATTGGTGGGCAATGAACATGGTTGAAATGTTGAATGTGTGGTCCTTCTCACAAAATGAGAATTCTACCATGGAGTCTTGCACGGACCCCTGACTGCCAGAAAAAAAGCTATTTGGGATGTTTCTCATCTTCCTCCTTTAGTTTTTAGACAAAACAATTTATATTTTTTCCCCAGATGATATTAGAATCTTCAGTGGGAAACTGAGAGTTTGGGTTGAGTTCCTGACAAACATCCTTCTTTAACCATATGCATAAGCAAACACTGAGGGAACCAGCTGAAATTTCCTTGGTTTGTCTAGAGAATAACATCACACAATTTAATTTAAAAAAATACACATGAAGTTGAGCTCAGCCCTGTTGTATTTGATTAATATGAGCTGACTTTTCCATTATAGTAATATACCACATGCTTGAACTATTAAATTATTGGGGCTTTGTGTGTCTTCAAAACAGACAGGTGAACCCTTTGGCCATGTTTATGTTTTCCATTTATTTATTTGGTGCTACCAAAACCAGATAAATCATTATTATCATGATCATCAATCATCATCATTATCACTGTTGTTGTCATCATCCATTCCTTATCTGGGACACTTCCACACTGCAACCTTGAACTGCTTGATTGCTGAACATAAACCATTTTGAAATGAAGTCACCTTAAGAAATCCCTCTCTGGATTTCAGGTCCAACCTGTGACCCATGGGCCCTGGATAACTTTGAATACAACCCCACAAAATCATATATGTTTAACATTGTTTATACATATTTATACATCAACTATATTTTATGTGCAGTCCAAGACAATTCCTCTTCGCCCAATGAAGTCCAAGCAAACCAAAAGGTTGGACATGACTGGCCTAGATCATATATATGTTGTGATCAAGGCCCAAGTAGTGATTACTGAACACAATTCAGTCCTCAACAAATTTACTTTATTAAAACAGCTGAGAATTAATTCATTCTCAGTTTAGTCCAAAACAAAATTCTTAATAACCAGTCCGTCGGCCTTATCACCAACCTTTGATGTCTTTGGCAACCTGCCAAAGGCTTTTCTTGGCAAAATCCCCACAAAGTACAAGAGACACTGTGTTCTGCCCCAGCTACAGACCCCAAAGAACGCAGCATACACAAGGTCCGTTCAAACCTTAGTTTATTAAATAAACCAGTTTTTTACAACAACTGCTGTTAATTAACTGCATTAACAGCCGCCAAGAATTCAAAGAATAATACTGAAAGCTTACTATGGTTGGCAGAATGCCCAGAAGCAATTTGCAGGAAGCTGATAAAATAAGCAAGACAAGACATGAAGGTATGTGAACTAAGTTGTTCCCTGCAAATTGCTTCAGTCGGCATTCCTCCTTAAATAGGCTAAGAGAGTGGCCAATTAGCCCCAAGCTTTACTCTTGAGGAGATCTCCTCCTGATGAGCCACTTCTGCCTTTTGGCAGCTCTGCGCGCCTGTGCATCAAGTAGAGGCTCCTCCTCTTCGTCCTCTTCACTTAAGGGAGCTTCTGGAGGTTCTGAAGGCCCTGGCTGAATCCCCGCCTCTGGCACACCTTCTCCAGCCTCCTCATTGTTTAACTCGAGTGCCAGCTGCACAGGCTGCTGGCGCAGCACCACACCAGCCTCCTCGCTGTCGGAATCAGCTACTAGCTGCCCAGGCCGCTGACTGTCCACACTGACAAGAAGCACAGGAATCAATGTTGCTTTTCTACAAAGAACCCAATGGCTTGTTGCTGCTCTTTTAAGCCGTATGGGAGTGGCCAATCATCTTCTGGCCTTACTCCTGAGTTGTCCTTTTTTTCTTCGGCTGCTCTTGCCTTCTGGCAGCTCTTCGCATGCGTGCACTAGGAACAGGCTCCTCTTGTTCCTCTGCCTCTCTGCTGTCCGCCTCTGGAGGCTCTGTAGTCTGTGCATCGCTCCCAGATGGCCCTGGCCCCATCTCTGCATCCAACGCAGAGCCCTTGTCTGGGCCTTCCCCTGACTCCAGGACTGGCCCATTGTCCTCCCCAGCCTCCTCACTGTCTGACTCCACTGCCAGCTCCGCAGACTGCTGACGGACCACAACAATTTATGGCAGCTCTCAAATTCCCTTGTTACAAAACCTTTCCTACATCTTCTAGGAAAGCAAGCACCAATTGATTTCTCTTCCATGGTCAGGTCTTTGAAGATGCAGTTTCTATTGATATGAGCTTTCTCCTTAGGTTGCCCCTTGCAGTGGTGGTAGTCTGACGGTTCTATTCAGTTCAGGCAAACCAGTAGCGGCAGCCCACCCACCCAGGCGTCATCACGTCATGTTTTTGACACTCTGCGCATGCATGGAAGGCCCTGCGCATGCACAGAGGTGGCACATGTGAGCGAAGTGTTTGCAAACTGGTAGCGAAGGTAAGTGAATACCACCCCTGGCTCCTTGTATTTGACAACTTCCTGACTAAGGTACAAATCAGTGGTGGGTTCCTCCCGGTTCCGCCCGATTCCGCCGAGCCGGTAGCGGTGATGATATGATGTCACCGAACTGGTTCTTCCCCCCCATAGAGCATGGATAATATATAGTCAAAATAACATTCTTTTCTCAGAGAATCAAGGCCACGGTGCCGTACAGCTGCCATGAGAGGACTGGGAGGTATCTTCAGTTTTGGATGATGCCTGATTGGATCATGTGATGGACATGTGGGTGCTGGGCAGGGACTTGAACTTTCTTTTGGGTGGGGAAAACCTGGAAGCTTTCAGATTCAGGTTTTCCCAGATGTACCAATATGACATCTTCAATAAAATGGAACTTTGAGGAAATTCAAGCCTCGGAGTCTTCTTTCGTTGAGGGTGTTTCTTGGAACCCTGACAACTTCTTCTGCTGGATCAGATCGGGTGGAGAGATATAATCGGGAAGAAGCAGTCTCTGAAATAACCCAGCCCCCATGCTATGAATAGTTTGCTATGAATGGCAGATCAGAGGTCTCTAATCCATCCATCGCCTGTAAATCAGCTTCTTCAGTTCAGCATCCTTTAGGTATGGAGAAAATGATCAGAAATTAAAAGGATCACCCAACTATCTTTCTGCATGAATCTTACCCTTGGTTTATTGTCTTTATGTCATCGTGCATATAAATTGATGCAATTTCCACAGCTAGCTGCTCGGTTTGTTACTGCAAAATATTGCTAAACTAAAGAGCATTGGTGGTGTTTAAAAGTGTGGAAAATTGTTTAGGCTGTAAAATTATCACAGCAAAGAGTTTTGGAAAATTATTCAAGCAAAGATACTGTGATTTGTACCTACTTATTTTTGGCTATAGAAGCCATGTTTTTTTTTCTAAAAGACTATAGTAGTGGCCAAAATTGTGGAAACTTTTTGGGAAAAGGGTAATTCTAAAACTAGCTAATAACATGACTTTGCTATTAGAATAACAGTTACAGTATGAAGAAGAAAAGTGAAACATGTAGAAAAAATGAGATATACAAAAATTATCACCATGTCAGTTAATACTTAGTTAGGGTAACCTATAGCATGAATTATGGCCTTACAATGTCTTCCCATGGAGTGAACCAAGTCTTTTAGTTCTGCAGCTGTTATAATGTAAAACCAAGTTTGAATGATTGCTTCTATTAACTGGGTTTTATTGCTGGGTCACTTCTGATTAACAAGTTTCTTTAGTCAGCTCCATAGATTTTCAGTTGGGTTAAGGTCTGGGCTATTCCCAGGCCATTCCAGCAGTGGAATATGATTATTTTAAAACTCCCCCCCCCAAAAAAAACCCTGCTGTTATTAGCCATCAAACCTCAAAAATACACTTTTCCCAAAAGGTTTCCACAATTTTGGCCACTACTGTATGTTTCTCTGTACAATGAGGCCTTGGGTAGAAATACTGAAGATGATGTATTTCTGCTTAAAATGACTTATACATTTATTTGTGTGTGTCTGTATACACATACATACTCACAAAGTAAGTACATATCCTAGTATGTAACAAAGTGAATAGCTTTGAATTATTATTTTGTACAATTAGGGAGCGGTAGGTTGTTTGTTTGTCATGCAAGATAATTCAATGGAGAAAGCTATTATGTTTGTAAGAGTTAGCAGTAAAAGGAAACCAGGCTGCCAAAGAACATGGTGGCCGAACGACTTCAAAGCTGACATCAGCCACAGCATAGAACAACTCCCGGATCTGCGCATCTTCCGCCGCGCTCTAAAGACCTTTTTATTTCAGCAGGTGGGCCTGGCCTAACTTTCTCCCTCTTTTTAAACAATTTTAATATTTTAACGTTTTTAATATCTTTAATACTTAAAGTCTAAATTGGTTTTAAATTGATTGGGGTTTTAATCTGTCTGGGCCAAACTATTTAATTCGATTTTATTTCTGCTTTTTAAATTTTGTCTATATGTATTTTATTGTTGGCTGTTCACCGCCCTGAGTCCTTCGGGAGTAGGGCGGTATACAAATCAAATAAAAGTAAAGTAAAAGTAAAGTAACTCAAAGAAGCATGCACAAGATCGGAAGATCTTGTTGAACTAAGTTAAGATATATAAAAGCATATCTTTGCCCACTTCATTCTCTAGATGGGAGACTTGGATGTGCGAGAAGAAACATATTACTTCAATACAATAGGAATGGGTACTTAAGAAATGCATACAATAAAACTAGATGACATGGGTGTTGTGGCCCACCAGCTGCCAGTGGAGCTGGTGGCAGACTCTCATGAGGAGGAGGTTGGGGAGGAACTTGGGCCAGTCCTGGAGTCTGGGGAAGGCTCTGATGGATGCTCTGCATTGGACACAGAAATAGAGCCAGGGCTGTCCAGCATTTCCCAGCCACCAGAGAGGCAGCTGCCTTTGGAGGCTGAGATGAGTGAGGAAGAAGAACAGCTGGGGCCTGTTCCAGATGCACCTATGCACAGAGCAGTTAGGAGAGAGGAACAGAGGAGGACAAGGAGTCGACTCGGGAAGCAAAGCACACATGGACGCTGAATGGCCCCTCCCTGGCTGCGGAATAAATAGAAGGAAAGGGGAGTGGTTGTCATAAGAGACAACCGTTCATATATCTGAAGATTTTTGCTCATTGCGTTTAGTGCCACAAAGACTGCTTGCCAGAACTTAATTTACAGCCTTTTTTATGGGAGCTCACGGCCTTGCAATTATCGCAAGAAACTGATAAGGTCTGTTACTGCAGTTAACTCCTTGAAGGACTATTGCCTTGACTTTTCGGTGGGTGAATGCAATTAATTCACAAGAGGAAAATAAAGAGGGGGTTTTCCTGACAAGGAGTCTGTTTCTTGTTTCTGCTAAGGCTGAGTCAGAACAATGGGACCAAGAGCGAATGGATCTTGAATGAATAAGTATTGAAAACAACAGTGAATGATCAGTACAAAAGAAGTATACCAAAGTGGTTTGGCTGATGTAGACAGCATGGATGAAGATTAAAATATAATAAATAACTAAATAAATATGTACCCAGCAAGAATGAATGGGTGGAAAAGAAGATTGAGAAAATTGTACTTGGATGGAGTTGATGAGATACTCAAAGAGAAAGATGAGTAATTTAAAGAACAAAATGGGAAGGAAGGAAGGAAGGAAGGAAGGAAGGAAGGAAGGAAGGAAGGAAGGAAGAACTTGTCCATTTTGCCTCTGCCCTTTCCTTATTTCAGCCATATCCACCATTACATTATGAACAAGCACATTTTTCTGGCAGCAGTGCAGACTTGGCAATAGGAAGGCTTAAAATCTGCCTGCATTGAGATATTTCACAGACTAACAAGACAATAAACAACACCAGATTGTTTTTACATACTTTTGTCCTGACGGTTTACAAGGCAAGTATTTTAAGTACAGATGTGTAGAAATGGAGATAGTGGAAAGGTAAGGAGGAGAACAAGCATAATTAGCCAGAAGGAAGAATAAAATAAAGGATAGGATGGGGGAAAATGTAAAGGGGTCCCCGAGTTGCAACCATTCATTTAGAGACAGTTCAAAGTTACGGCAGAGCTGAACAATGTAATTTACAACCAGTCCTTGCACTTACAATTGTTGCAGCATCATATGCTCATGTGATTGCAATTTGGACTCTTGGCAACCGGCATATATTTACAATGGTTGCAGTCAGTGGTGAAATCCAAATTTCTTTACTACCGGTTCTGTGGGCATGGCTTGGTGGGTGTGGTATGCTGTGGTTTGGTGGGCGTGGCTTAGTGGGCAGGGGAATGATACTGCAAAATCTCCATTCCCTCCCCACTCCTGGGGGGAAGAATATTGCAAAATCCCCATTCCCCACCCAACTCTGAGGCCAGCCAGAGCTGGTATTTGCCGGTTCTCCGAGCTACTCAAAATTTCCGCTACAGGTTCTCCAGAACCTGTCAGAACCTGCTGGATTTCACCCCTGGTTGCAGTGTCCCATATCATATGATTGCCATTTGCAATATTCTTAAGCTGGCTTCCAACAAGCAAAGTCAACAGGGGAAGCTGGGTTCACTTAACAACCATGTGATTTGCTTAACAACTGAAACAGTGCAAGATCATACCATCAGGTATGATCGTGTGATGATTCACTTAATGGCCACATCATTTAACAATGGAAGTTCTGGTCCCAATCATAGTCCTAAATTGAGGGACTACCTATCGCTTCCATTTAGATTTCAGTCTTCTTCTACAGCTGGTCCTCAACTATGGCCACAACTGAGTCCAAAATTTCCATTGGTAAGCAAAGCAGTCGTTAAGTGAGCTTTGCCCCATTCTGACCTTTCTTGCCACAGTTGTTAAGTAAATCATGTGGTTGTTAAGCAAATCTGGATTTCCTCATTGACTTTGTCCGAAACTGGCTGGGAAGGTTACAAATGGGGATCAGGTGACTCTAGGACAGTCCAACTGTCATAAATTGCCAGTTTCCAGGTGAATTTTGATCACATGATCATGGGGATGCTGCAACATTCATAAGTGTGAAAACCTTTTTTTCAATGCTTTTGTAATTTCGAACAGTCATTAAATGAATGATTGTAAATCAAGGACTACCTGAACTCAATATTTCTGGTGCAAACATGCAGTGACATTCAAATCCTATCCAGCTGATTTCTTGGGTACTTTACCATCGTACCAACTCTTAGCCGGTGTAGCCAGTGCCAAAATGGTGTAAGGGATGGGAGAGTTCTTGCCTTTAAACTGCAGACATCATTTATGCTTAGAATACAGATTTTAATCCCAGTTTACCTGCAGGACAGGATAGTAAAAGATTCTTCCTTAATAGCATTTGATTAAAGTTTTGCCACGGGAGATAGGTCTCCCTTTTGTTCTTATACTGTTCTCCTTTTTGTTCTTTCTGCTTCTGAAGGCAACAAGAACAGCTGCACACCCCATGCTGCAGAAATGGATGTCCATGTGCTACAGTTTGCAATTTTCAAACAGACACCTTACAGCAGGGATGTCAAACTGGATTTCTTTGAAGGCCGGATCAGCATTGTACTTCTCCTCTGCGGGCCACGTAGGGGAGATAGGATGGATGCCTCCTGCAGCACTCTGCCAGCCAAAATGGGACACAGCACGGCCTCCCTGAGCCCCGTTTTTGCTAGCAGAGGCAACACGGGCCATCCTTTTCTATTTCCAGGCTGTGGGCCAGATTTCAGGCCATGGGCCAGATTTAAGCACCCCATGGGCAGGATGTGGCCCATGGGCCTTGAGTTTGACACCCGTGCCTTATAGGAAGTGGTGGGCTGCTGGCTGCAGTGGTAATTTTTTAATAGATAGAGAAAAACTGGGAGAAAGAAAAAGTGAGTACACATATATAAAGGCTGGGTCTGGCAAAATAGGTACTAGTGAATATCAGGAAAGAACATCTGTCAAAAAATATCAAATTTAAAAATGGCCACCATCTTAACTTTTTAAAATTCTGTTCCCCAGGCTATAGAGGACAGTTAAGTAAATATATGTCAGCTGCCTCACAAAATCACAAAGCCATCAATGACCAGGGTGGATAAAAATCAATGATTTTTTAAAAAAAATTAAAAAAAATAAGATTTTTTTTA